AAACTCCAGCCACCTGTTCACAGCTGTCAGCAGCAGAGCATTTACCTCAGTGATGACATACCGACTCTCATTCTCAGGGTGGTCTTATCGTGAACCCTCCTAATATGCCCCACTTTATAACATTTCAATAGAGAAAGGGCAAATGGGAGCTAAGGTAATCATCCACTCATGCGCCTTGGCAACCCTTCTGTTACATAGTAACACGTTTTAGGGGTAAAGGGCTGCTAATGCATATTAGGTATGGTCATTATGCATTTTAAACCTGTTGTAGGAGGAGCAAGGCTGTGCTACACTGATCACAGAAAAACAAAAGAATTAGAAACATTTACAATTCAACTCTATTGCACTGTTGCACAATTGGTTTGCTTCTTGTGGAATCATCCCAGAGGATGTTATTTATTGCTTAAGAAGTAAAGGGGGTAGTGTTCAGAGAGCCAAGAGGGTGTAGGAAGGCCTGGAGAACAAACATGCTTCTGCAGGATGGACTTGTCTGTGCAGATTCTCAGTCACCCAGGTCATAGTAAGCTGAAAAAAACTTGGAAAAAATCAACTGGACTAGATTTCTAGGTCGAAAACATTTCACCTCTCATCCAAGAGGCTTCATCAGTTCATGAACTGATGAAGCCTCTTGGATGTAGAAGTTTTTTTCAGCATGATGGACTTGTTTTTGTGAAGAGGATTTGAGTTAATGGGAAATGAAGGCAGAGCTGGGCTGCTGCTTTATTGATTGTCTAGCTAAACTGTGTCTATTGAAAATGTGAAATATTATTAAAGAATTGTTTGGATTTCATTTAAGCAACGTGTAGCAGTATTTTACAGAGATTTAAACTCATGATTAAGGCTAACAATTCTGTTGACTGCCAGGCTGTGTGTGTGACGGACGGAGAGAGGATCCTGGGGCTGGGAGACCTGGGCTGCTATGGCATGGGCATCCCTGTGGGGAAACTGGCCCTCTACACGGCCTGTGGAGGTGTGCCGCCCCAGCAGTGCCTGCCTGTCATGCTGGATGTGGGCACAGAAAATGAGGTAAAAGCAGAGGTCTAAATATAAATGAGAGATTTTTCATAGAACCATAATCAACTTAGGTTTATTTACATTACTTTAATTCAGGTACTGTGCTGTAGTATAATCTTCATGCAGCTACTTAACTTAAGTTTTTTCATTTTGTACTTTTACAGAAGTTTACTGCTTTTCAAAGTAAATGACTGTGTAATTTTGACCATCTTCATCTGAAACTCAGACCATCCTCCGGTCTGTTAAAAATTCCTGATATGTTTATCGGCAACAGTCTAAACAGAGTGTGTTTTACTTGTGTGGTACAATTATGAGTGATCAACTGTGCATGGCGCACGTACAGAGCGCATGCTCTGGAGCTGCGCTCACAGCTGTTGTGTTCATTATGGATGGTTGACATGTAAACAAACATGAAGCAGGAGTTCAGGGAACACTTGCACATTTTGCAGCTTTATTTTAGCTTTTGGAGGCACTTGATGATGTCATTACAGATGTTGGGGCAGACAAATTTTTTGTTTTATTTGGCAGACATGCCCCCCCCCAAAATCTCTCATGGTGATTATGCAATTGCATCATAGCCTCACGTAGTACCAATAAAGTGTGCTCAAAATGTCTTCCTGCTCAGTTCTACTGCCTCAGACCCATAAACTCAAAGTATTGCTCCCACAAAGTTTTAAATCCATGAGGATATGATATGTCAGCAGGGAAATGCTCTTAATCCAAAGTGGCCAGGTAGGCTTCCCTCAAAGATCGGGAATGAAAAGGAAAACAAATGTCTCACTTTAAAACCAGGAAACACTCTTTACACTAGTAAGGTAAGCAGGTCCATTGATGGATGCCAGCTGGGAAAGCACCTCTCCCCTCTGCCAGCCTTTGAGCAGTAGTTACCTACCTAAGGTCCCTGCTCTCTATGAAAGATGATTCAGACTCTGGGCAGGACAGCACGTGTGTCTGTAGCCTTAAACAGGCTAAGAATAGCCTGTGTGCATCTCTATATACACACAACTTTCGGCCTCAGCCAAGGGAGTGGCAACCTCAGATGTCTTTGTCTGAGTGCCAGACACAGCTGAGCTCAGCTTGTCAGGAGCTGTCCTCTGTTTTCCACGACTTCCCCATCTTCACATGACTCAGACCCTGGAGTTCAGATTCATTCCAAGCAACTGTCACTAGCGGATTAAGAATGAGAGATGCTGCTCAGGTTAAATGAGTTTGCAAATAAAAGCAAGATATGTAAGTAGCATAAAGAATATGGAAGAGTAGTTAGACTGAGAAGAAAGTTTGGGGTGATGGCAGCCTGACTGGCCTGATGCCACTTTCTGACAGCCTACACTTCATCCAAGTTCTCAGGGCCACTTCAGAAATCATTTGCCGTATAACAACAGAAACATTATAGTCTTCCCATAGCATCTATAAAAGATATTACATTGCTACATTAGTACTTCATGTGCCATTGGAAGTGGAAGTAGGAGAGCAAACTCACTCTCTTTCTGCCAAGTCGTCCACCTCAACTCTTTATCTTTATAGACATCCAACTTATTACAACCCTACCTTTTGACCTCTTGCACTGGCATCTCTATGCATTTGGAGTTTCCAAATTTGCTATTGTGACTGACATAGAGCTATAATGCCATATAAAAGATTAGATTCTTGGGTGCATGACAGCAGGTTTAGACATTTATGGGGATCACAACACAAGTTTAACAAGCTGCCTCAAAGTCTTTGATCCATACCCGCTGCTAAAGGAGCAAGAAGGGAAGTGTTTTATGTGCATGACTGCAGAGCTCGTGGATGGCTGTTGGATATTAACAACAGCAACTTAGAGATGTTGAAGTAATGGTTCACTTTCTTTCCAAAAGTTAGATAAGATTGATACCACTTTTAGGTTTGTGTGTCACATGCAGACTTGGAGCCAGGTGGCAACTAGCTCACTAGCATGAAGACTGGAAGCAGGGGAAACAACTGCCCCGGTTCTGTGCTAGGTTTAAAAACAGCTGCCAACACCAACAAGCTCATTAATGAAGACAGGGTACCTCATTTGTTTATTCCATACAAAAACAGAACACAAAACACCATTTTCCTTGCTCATTGAAAAAATCAGCACTACTGCACAGAAGTTTGTTTTTTTGAGTATTAGTTATAGAACATAGCTCCCTATAAAACCACAAACTGTGATTTTTACATGTTTGTGAGATGCAACATGGTAAATAGTCCCCTTTAGAGGTACATTTTTAAAGTGTGGGCAGGGCCAGGCCTTTGTTAATCACCTCACAGCTCCATCTCAGTGCTTAATGCACAGATGTGATAATTTTAGGAAATTTGGGCAGTAACACATTACTTAGGTAAGATTACTTTTTCAGAAACTAATACTGTCAAGGATTATAATTCACAATTCAGTAATTAGATTATAGTCTTATTTACGGTATATGTTGACTCTTCTTAACAGGCTTGCTAAGTCCAAGAAACTCTCTGTAATCCTTTGTGGTGAAATTGTGCCATTCATCAGGGCAAGGGTATAAAGCCATGTCTAAAGCTCTGAGTGTTCCACTGAGCACCGTGGCCTCAATAACTGTGAAATGTAAGAAGTTTGGAACCACTAGGACTATTCCAGCCAGACTAAGAAACCTGTCAAAAAGGAGGTGACCAAGAGCCCAACACTTCTTCTAACAGAGCTTCAGAAACCCTCTGCAGATATGTTAGAATCTGCTGGCAGGATGGTCTGAATACTTTCTGGTGCCACAGTACAGTATATGCATAGGGACATACTGTACTTGCCTGCAAGAACACAAACATTTCCTGTATTTAGATACTTATGCAACTTTAAAAGAAATAGCTGTAAAAGAGCTTCTACTGTAGTCTGGCTGGCTGTGGGTGGCTTTTTCACTGTACTGTTATTCTAAAGAGATGACAGGCTAAATGAGATTGACGTTATATTGGGGACAGGCTAGTCTCTGCCCCTCGGCACCCTGCCTCACTCTGCAGCCCTGACCGGGAGCAGACACGGGTGGAGGATGATATGAGGTAGTAGCTCTAGCTAATTATTAAAATGACTGTTATTATGGGATTATATTTGTCCTTGAATGGATATAGGGGCGCACAGAGAGAGACAAGCAGGCATACATCCAGCAGTCAAGCAGACAGACCTCGAGACATACTTTTTTCCAATGTTTTTTCTCTTTAAACAAATAGTTTGACATTTTGGAGCATAGGCTAATTTGTTTATCACAAAGAGTTAGTGCTGAAGCTTCATACTGTAGCTCTATGGTGTTCTTTTCCTTTATCATCATGTCTTAAGACAGTTGTGAGCCACTGCAGATTTGTTGTTTTTACTTCTGCAGTGGAGTGTAGATGTGTACTGTGGTGTGAGAGCCTGCAATAAATTCTCATTACCAGGACATCTCTTATCTCTTTCCCACAAACAATACACACAGAAACTACAACCAGGCTGTACATGCAGAAGCACAGAAATGGTCCCTTGCACAATATAAAGGAAAATAAACATGTTTTCTGGTAGTTCAGTTCTTATCACCCTGTATCTATTTATTTATTTGTGTAAGTCACCTGGAGGAACCTCAACACACACTCACTCACATACAGTATACTTGACACTATGCAGCTGTGTGTGCGGCGTCTGGCTTTGTTCTACTGCTTCTTTAAAATTGAGTTTTATAAACCTTACAGTTACATTTTTAAAACTGAAAGTTGCATGTTAATTTATTCTTTTATCAAATGTCCAGCACCAACAGCCATCAGTTCAGAAAGAGTGAAACTAGAGCTTCTAGCAAGCACATACTGTAACACACACACACACACGATGACTAATCCCTTCTGAGAGAAAAGGAGCTGTACTACACAAAGGACAGCTTAGCCAATCAACAGCAGATAATCTGTGACAGAAAGACAATTTATGTCAACAGTTCCATATGGTGTCAACAAGGTCAGACCACAAACTCAGTGAGGTCCGCCCAAGTCACTTATGCTCGTAATACAGCTTCTTCTAATTTGTCAAAGTGTGTAATTGGACAGAACAGTGAAACAAAGACTCACCATCTTATGCTATAACTCAGTAGAATAGCAGCAAGTCAAACTCCACTGCAGAGCTTTTCATGATTCATTCTCTTTGCAAGCTGTTGCATCATCCTGTGACATTACCACCAGAATCTCTCTCTGATATCAGTCCACTTTTCTGTGGGATCAGATGAAAGTTTTTTTTTTGGTTATGGCTGAACTTAGCCACGTCCTGCCTGTTGCAGTTTATTTAAAGCTTGCCCGGAAAGGAGTTGTCTTCAAACTTACTGCCTTAAATAAGCATTCAAGCTGTTCTTGGACATGGTGGCTCTTGACCCTGCCATGGAAAGGTGGCTGATGCCTTGTTCGAGCACGGCTCATCTTAGTGGCACCCTCTAATTATCCATTTCCAGATGTAAAGGTCGCCTGTTCCATTGAGACATGACAGTGCTCCGGACAAGGTCTCCACCCTTGGGGATCAAAATTCCCTGAAAGTCAGAATTTTCCAATTGGAGCACATTTAGATTATGTACCTTTCTTACAAAGTCTCTCTAGGCAGGGATCTGCTGCTTCTTGTACTCTGACACACGACCGTGTCATGTCATGAAAGTACCGACCTGATTAAACACTGTAATCTATGTGCCGACACCTCATAGCACAGACTGTAAGCCATCTATCACTGCTGGGTGGAGGTTACTTCCATGTAGTCTATCACAGTCTCTCTCACACACACACACACACACACACACAGCTTCACACTGACCTCTGCTTTGAATTTTCTCATTTCACCGTTGTATTCCTTTCATTCCTCACAATGCTCAAAATACTAAAGTAAAAAAGGTCAAAAGTCACTCTTTCATCTCAGACTGAGTGTTGGTTTGCCTTTGAAGGACGGTTTAGTTCCTGTAATCAGAATCAGAATCAGCTTTATTGGCCAAGAGGAATTTGACTCCAGTATAGTGGCTCTCAATGTGCATGTATAATGTTCTTACATAAGGCAACGAGTAAACAAGTAAAGTAGATAAGAGTGGAAGAACAAATCAAGAAAAAGTGTGTGTGAGTGTGCATTAGGAAAATAAAAATAAAGTACTTGTAAAATATAAAATATGTGCATACTGCGAGGAACAGAAGTATTTGAACACCTGAGAAAATCAGTGTTAATATTTGGTACCAAAACCTGTTTGTTTACAGTTACAGAGGTCAGACATTTCCTGTAGTTCTTGACCAGGTTTGCACACACTGCAGCAGGGATTTTGGCCCACTCCTCCACACAGATCTCCTCTAGATCTGTCAGGTTTCGGGGCTGTCGCTGAGCAACGCGGAGTTTAAGCTCCCTCCAAAGATGTTCTATTGGATTGAGGTCTGGAGACTGGCTAGGCCACTCCAGAACCTTGATATGCTTCTTACGGAGCCACTCCTTGGTT